CCTCAGCAACGCAGCCCCCACTTTCTGCCAGGCTGCTCCCCACCCCGGGCACCCCCACCCCTTGCCTCACCATTTCACTTTATTATTGCAATAAATGTAGCCATAAAAGTGGCAGGTATTGGCGCGCACAGAGATCGCTGCTCCTGAGCTATGGAAATGTAATTTCGAGTGTGCCCGGGAAATTTTATAAGATCGTATCAGGCGGGATCATAAATCCCATTCCCAGCCCCCCCCCCCACCTGCCTGGATGAGCCAGGGCCAGTGCGAAGGTCACCAGAGAGGGGGAAAATGCCAGGCTGCCCCCACGGCGAGACCCCATCCCTGCGGCCCCACACTGCACATCTCCTCCCGACGTTCCCTGTGCCAGCAGGGATCTGCTCCCCCCAGGAAATGGGGGGCAGCAGCAAAAACACGGCTGCCCCCCACACCCCCCAGCAGCGGATTTGGATTGAGACCCTCCAGAGACCCCCAGAAGCGCTGGGGACCCTCGAGGGCATCGCTGGGACCGCAGCTCCTCTGGGGTCACAAGGACCGTGACCCACGGCAGCCAGGCGCTGGCTCCCAGCAGGAGCAGGGGCAGCGTGTCCCTGCAGCCCCCTGGGACCCCCCTGGTGCCCCCCAGGGCTGGATTCAGCCCTGCTGGGCACCCATCACCCATCATCACCCATCACCCATCATCACCCATCAGCCAGGCCTGGCTCTTGCAGGTGCCAGGTGAGGCTTTGCTCTGCCTGCTGCACACCAGGCTCCTCCAGGGACCGAGGGGACAATGAGAGGGTCTCCCCCAGCCCACCATGCCATCAGCCCAGCAGCTGGGACGCTCCCGGGGGTCGCACGGGGTCTGTGCCCAGCGGGGGTGTGCTGGGGATTGATTTGGGATTGATTGGCGTCCCCGCTCGGTTCCTCCACAATGACTTTCCTTTTGCAACAAGGGAAAAAGGCGGGGGGGCTGCAGGGGTGGGGGCCACGGGGATGTGATTATTCCTTCAGCAGCAATCCAAGCGGCGGGAGAGGAAGCTTCATCTTTCCTGGGCCATTTCCCTCCAGCGCCCGAGCGCCGAGGCTGAGCCAGGCACGGCGGCGAGGCTGGAGCCCGGCCAGGCCAGCGGCTGGGGGGGCTCCGCTGCGCGACCCCTCCCCACCCTTGGGCCACCGGCCGCGGGGACCTTGAGAGGAGGAGCTGTGGATGCAGAAAGGGCGGGCAAAGTCATTAATCCGGGAGTGTTAATTGGCAAGAGTGTGATTAGCGGTGGGGGCTCAGCTGGGGGCTGCTGGAGCAGGGGGGGAGCGCCCGTCTTGCCCCCCATCCCGGCTCGGCCACCTCTGCCTGTCCCCAGCGGAAAAGTGGCAATTAAAAACAGGAGCGAGGGGGAAAAAGCAATAAAAGCGGACCCGGCTGGGAGCCAGATCGGCACCGGGAAGCGCAAGGGTGGGTGGGTCTGGCTGGAGGGCACCCCTGGGTGCCCCCCCTCCCCAGCCACTGCTCCCCCTCCTCGCCGAGGCTGCGCCAGCCACGCTCCAGGCTCCAGCCTTATTGAATCTCCCAGCTTGGGGTGCAAAGGGCACCAGAGGGAAGAGTTATTAAAAAAAAAGGGAAATGAGTCGCTTGGAAACCTTCTTTCGGAATAACAGTGTGTGTTTGTTTGGCGATAGATTAGCTCAGCCATGCTGAGCACACAGCACCCGCCGCAACGGCGGGCGGCTCCGGGAGCCGCAGGAGCGGCCCCGGGGGATGCACGGAACCGATCCCGGCCCCGCGGGCACCGGCCGGGCACCGACCGGGCACCGGCCCGCTGCAGCCCGGCCCCGGAGCTCAGCACCCCCGGGGATGCCCGCCCAGAGGGGGCTGCAGCAGCACCACCCAAACCCCACATCCTCTCCTCTGCCCCCAAATGCGGTGCACCGCCTCTGGGGCACGAACCGGGTGGATTTCCCCTAAAAATGGGAGCTGGGGAGGTGGGAATTGGGGTGTCCTTGTGTGGAAAGGGCTGGCGGCATCTGCTAAGAGCAAAGCCATCTGTCAGCCAGCAGCCCAGGGGACAGCTGCTGGGTGACAGCGAGGCGAAGGAAGGGACAAAGTGGATGAGTTTGGCATCCCGGGCCACCAGGCTCCAGCTGGCACCGCCACTGCCAGAGCAAGGCGGCATTTTGCTGCGAAGGGTTAATCCAAGAAGGAAAAGCTGCCAGCAGCACCCAGGTGCTTCACAGACAGCCGCTGCCTCACCTGCCTGTGCCAAAAAGGAGGGAAACCGAGGCAGGGGCGCGGGGAAGGGGGTGGGGGGCACATTCTGGCAAAGGCAGCAGGGGTGGAGCAGGGTGAGGAAGGACAGACCATTGTCCCCGTCCTGGTCCTGCTGTCCTGCCGTGGCACTCAGCCATCCCATCGTGGCTCCATCCCGGCGTTCTCGCCTGTTCCAGCCCGTTCCTGCCCAAGCCCGGGCCAGCATCGCTCATCCCTCCCCTGCTGGATCTTGCTCAGGACTGGGTGGGGTCACCCCATGGCCAGGGCGTGGGGTACCCAGGGCTAAGGGTGGCATCAGCCTCGCAGGGACCCTGGGGGATGTGGGGAGAACGGCCCTTCCTCCATCCAAGGCCGAGGGTCCTGGGTGTGCCTGGGGGCTGGCTGAGACCCTCAGCCTCGGGGAGCCAGGCTGGCCCCACCCGAAGGGACCCCCAAGATTTAATGCTCAATGAAGAGAAAATAATGGGATGCATAAAAATAACGCAGGAGCCGGGGAAAGGCCGGGGAGGGGAGGGTGGCACTCGCAATCGGAGGTGGGCTCGTCCCCCTGCCTGTTCCAGCGCTGCCAGCACAGCAGCCAGCAAGGTTGGGGGGCTGGGGAGGGGTGGGCTGCACCCCCACAGTGGGAACTGGCACCCGCTGGGCTGGCAGGGTTTGTCCGTGCCACAGGGGTTGATCCCGGCACGCCAGTGTCACCCAGCTGGCACCGCCAGCAAACCCTCGGCACGGGGGGGGTGACAGCGCGGGGGTCCCACACCTTGAGGGTCCCGCACCCCGGGGGTCCCTCACTCCTCCACAGGGACGTGGGGGTGCGGCCCCCCCTGCTCCTTTGCCCCCAGCACCGTCCTGCTGGGATGTGGCACCGGGAGCCCCAGTTTGAGGTGCCCACCCGAGCCGGGGGGAGGCCAGTGGGGTCCCCCCGCCCACCCACCCCCCTCCTGACCCCCAAAAGAGAGCGGCAAAGTTTCTCCCCAGCAGGCCCAAGGAGCCGAGGGGCAGGAATGGCTCTGGCACCCTTCCCTGGCACCCGGTGGGCACACGGCTGGGCAGAGCCCGGCCCCTCCCGGAGCTCTGGGGGCGGGGGAGGGTCCTGGACCCCCCCACCGCAGAGGGATGGGCGCTCAGGGCATCTCCCGGGGCAATCCCTGCGCAGGAGGCTCCTGCACCCTCATGCCCACCCCATGCCCCAGGCCGTGCCCGTGCCCCCCACCTTTGAGCCCCCCGTGCCCCCCCTCAGCACCGCCGCCTGCGTGGGAGGGGCGGGGGGGCCCGGGCAGCGCCCTGCTCCGGATTTCATCAAAACAAACCCATTTGTCTTGAAGCAGCTCCAGCACCGACAGATGCTCCGCAATGGATGGACACGGGAGGGGGGGTCACGCCGAGCCACCCCCACACGCGTCTCCCCCTCCCCACGCAGGGAGCAGCGCGCCAGGGAGAGACAAGTTGCAGGAGCCTTTGCCTTGGGGGGGTCGGGTGGTGCAGGAGGGGGCGGTGGGTGGGGGGGTCCCTGATGTGCATCCAATTCCCGAGAGGGAATTGACTCGTTTGATTTTATTCATGAAACACGGAAAGTAAAAATGGAGTGTCAGGAAATCAGATCTGCTGGGTGATGAGCCCGACCCCCCCGGCTGGGCTGGGGGGGCTCCATCCCCCCCTCCTGACCACCACGGCGCTGGGCTGGGATGCAGCCGTAGCCCCCCGAGGGGCTCCAGGAGGAGGTGGCGGAGGGGGGACACGGGGGGTGAGTGGCCTTGGGAAGTATCTGGGACTGGGGGACATTGGGGGGGGGTCTCTGCGGCTGCAGCCGCTCCTCAGCTCCCACAGAGCAGTGAGGGGGGGGACAGGCAAAGTCCCTCCCGCCCCCCAGGCCTGGCCCGGGGCTCAAGACCCCCGTGCATCCTCCCCATGGTTGGGGGGTATTCGGTGAGGTGGGAATGGGGCGGGTGGGAGAAGCCCCCCGGCAGGGCTGAGCCCCCCCCGAAGGGAGTCGGGACAGGAATGAGGCGTCGCCTCTGCAGGTGGTTTTGGGGCTCACGCCCTCGGCACAACCACGGAACAGCCGGGCCCCCCCAGTCCTGCGTGGGGACCCCCCTCTCTCCCCGACCCGGCCGCCGTGGGGTCGTCCCCCTGCTCCCCCCTCCCCAGGTGCGCTGCAGGTGCGGGGTGCGGGACAAGGGCTCCCCCAAGCCCCCTGCGGGACCCTCGGGCGGAGGGTCCCACCCACCCACGCGTGGCCACCCCACGCTCACGCACGGCTCCGTCTCGCTGTCCCCCCCCCGCACCTGCCAGACGGCGCCTCCCGCGCTGGTGGGGGGGGGGAAGCTGGAGGGGCTTCACCGGCGACAGGACCCCCCGAGCCTCCTCCCGACACCACAACTCCCCCCGAGCTCCGGGACAGCCCCGGTTTGGGGGGGGCAGGACCCCCAAATGCAACCCCTGTAGCCCCCCCCAAATAAAACTCTCCCGTTCACCCCCTCCGCCCCCCCCGGGTCTGCTCGACTCCCCCCCCCCCCCCAAACCGACCGCGCTGTGACTGCCACAGCCCCCCCAAAGCACGACCCCCCCGAACCGCGCCCCCCACTCTGCACGACCCCCCCAGGACCCCACGCCCCCTCCCCCGGATTTCTCCTACGCCCCCAATAAGTGCACGACTTCTCCCCCCCCCGGTAATCGCCCCCCTGCCCGGTAACGGCGCCCCCCCCCGCACGCCCCGCGCCGGCGGCAGCTCGCGGGGCCGGGGGTCCCGCATTCCCGGTACCTGCAGCAGCAGCAGCCCGGGCCCGAGCAGGGGCAGGCGGCGGCGGAGCATCGCGGGGCTCCGGGAGCGGCGGCGGCGGCGGCGGCGGCGGCGGCGGTGAGGGGCGGCGGGAAGAAAGTTGGAGACTTGCGGGGCCGGGCGGTGCCTCGGCGGCCCCGCCAATCCCGACCGGCGGGGGGGCACCGGGGGGCGGCTCCGGGGGCGCCGGGACCCCGCACCGGCCCCGTGCGCACCGGCGGCTCCGCCACAGCTCGAGGTGTCTCCCATCCTACTCCCCCGAGCCCCCCGCGCATCTCGGGGTGCCCCCGGTCCTCCCCCGCCGCCTCCTTCAGCACCCCGGGGTGTCGCCGATTCTGCCCCCCCGCCTTCTCCATCAACCCGCGGTGTCTCCTGTCCCACCCTCCCCAACTTCCCTCGCACCCCGGGGTCCCCAGCTGTGCCCCCCCCCACTTCTCCATCACCTCGGGGTGCCCTCGGTGCTGCCCCCCCTTCCCTGGGGACCCCCGCACCCCGGGACACGCCGGTCCTGCCCCTCTCTCCCGCAGACGCTGCATCCTCCGGTCCCGCTCCTGCCCCCCGATCCCCCAGCACCCCGGGGTGCCCCCCCTCCTGCTCCATCTCCCCACTCCCCCCGATGCTCCCGGACTTGTCCCGCTCTCCCCCCGCCCCCCAGGACGCTCCCGGTGCCGCCACCCCCCGCCCCATCTCCCGGGTACCCCAAACCCCGCTGCGGGCACCGGGGGGCACCGGCGGCGCTGCCCTTCCTGGGGAGGGCAGGGGGACCCCCCTGCGTGGACCCCCAAAACTTCAGCAGGAAGGGATGGGGACACCCTAAGGAACGTCCCTGGGGGGGTCCCCCAGACCCTGCCAGACCCGGGGGGCTCCTCTTGTCCTGCACCCCCACCCGCGTCGGGCTGGACACGCCACCTGCGTCACCTGCACGGACACGTGTGTGCGCACGGACACGCGTGTGCTCATCCCCCGGCGCCTGCCGGGCCCCTCTCCCAGGGGGTCTCACTCCCCCCGCGAGGGGTTTTGGCCACTTCTCCCCCCACCCCAGCCCCCTCCCCACCTCATCAATGAATTGATCGCTATTCCCATTAGCGATGATCGCGGGGAGCTGCCGCCGGGGACTCGGAACCGGCGGGGCTGGGGACATCCCGGGGGGGTTCTGGGGGCACTCGGGGGTCCTGGGGACACGCGGGGGTGGTGGGGGCACGCGGGGAGGGCGCTGCAGAACCGCGTGGACATGCGGAGACGGAATGATAAAAGGAGAAACGGGAAAAGGGAAGGGAGAGGGGCGAGGAATGAGGGAGACGGAGCCGGGGAAGAGAGAGGAGAGAGCAGAGCCACGGGGAGCGGGGCGCCCAGAGGTGCTGGCATCAGGGGGGTCCCAGCCAGCCCCAGGCCAGCCCATGGGGGTCCTGGGCACCTTGGCACGAGGCCTTTTCTGCCCGGGCTCAGGGGAGCCTCCCCCACTTCATGGAGAATCTCTCCAGTGCCCCTTCCCCTGCTGCTGCTGCCCCGGTGCCGAGGGGTCCCCGCTCTTCCCTGGCCCCCCACTTCCCGCACTGCAGGAGCCTCCGTACCCCCCTCCCCTTCCCTTCCCTTCCCTCCCCTTCCCTCCCCTCCCCACCCACCGGGGTCCCCCAGCGCTGCTCCCCCCGGCCCCACATCCACCCCGCAGAGTTTGGGGTGCCTGAAGCCTGGAGGGGCTCTGGGGGCGCCCAGACCCCTCGGGACCTCCCCCCACAGGGCCAAGAAAACTCCCCGGGTGGGTCCCGGTGCCCCTGATGGTCTCACCGGGGAGCAAACGCATCCCGGGCTCTGAGAGGGGTTGGGGGGCTCTGGAAGAACCCCCTCCCCACCTAAGCGGCCCACGGGAGGGGCAGAAGCAGGCGGGGGGCAGGGTGGGGATGAATGGGGAAGAGGGTGAAAAATAGAAAATATTGAAGGAAAAAGATAAAAAGGATTTGGTGAGGGGGTGGGGGGGGGGGAGAGGGGAAAGGGAGGAAAAACCTCGGGAGGAGATTTAAGGACCGATAAGTGAACAAAGAGCCGGTATTGAAATAGATCTGAGGCCGCCGGCACCCGGCGCGGGGCTGGGGGGGCTCAAAGGCAGCGGCTGCGGGGGGCCGGGGGCTGCGCCGGGGATGGGGAGGGGGCGAGGGGCGAGCCGAGCCACCGGCCGGGGGGCACCGGGACCTGCCGTGGCCCCGGGGGTCGCTCAGAGCCGCCGGGCACGTGGCGAGGCTGGCGGCGATGCCACCGAGGCTCGACGGCCCGAGGGCTCGATGCCACGGGTGGGGCCGGCCTGAGCCCCCCGCCCCCGCAGCACCAACCCCCCCCGGGGCACCACGAGCCACGGGCGCTCGCCCACCGGTGCTGCCCCTGGGGGAAAGGGGGGTCCCAGCTGAGCCCCCCGCCCACAGACCTGCTGCCGTCCTGGGCACCCCTGTGGCAGGGCAGGGCAGGATGTGAGGGACACCCCCGCGGTGGT